CTAAAGAATTTTCTCAGCTATCCTAATGATGCACCAGTGAAGAAATTGTTTCGATCAGCTACTGACATTGCAACAAAACTAGGAGACTAAATGAGGTATCCTAGTTTAAGGGATGTTAACAGGACTCGATCTCATACGTATTTAGAGGCCCAATAGCTGTGATAAAAAGTCACTACGAAAACTCGGCCATCCATCGAAACCGGATGACCGATATTATGCTTTTTGTTCGTCAAGGTACAGTACTGTGTTTTGGAATCATTAAACTGTACAAGATTGTTGCGTCCCCAAGCAGTGATAACCTCCAGGTCTCTCGTCAGAGAGAAAGTCGTCGCTAGTCTTTTTTTTTCAGCTCAGCGGCAGAGATCAACTTGTCACTCCGAATTCCTGCATCTAGAGTGCTGTCATCAGCGAAGCTGTGGATTGGGTTGATCGTGCAGGAAAGGAGGTCGTTGATATGTAAGAGGAAAAGTGTCGGAGCTAAGACGGATCATTGGGGAACACCCGCGTTGACGTTGTGGGATGAAGAAGAGAACCCGTCAATTGTGAAGGATGTCTTGCGGCCAGAGAAAAAGTCCCACCTGCAAAGCTTTTCTGGGTGGTAATAGGATGGAAGTTTGCATAAGAGGGCAGCGTGCCACAGCTGATCGAACGCTTCCGTGACATCAACATCAACGAGATGACCTTCACCATAAGACTTGATGAATTTATTCCTCAATTACGTTACATAAGCTAGGAGGTCGCCTGTGGATCGCTGGTGTCGGAGACCATACTGCCTGTCGCTAATGAAGCCGTGACGTTCAAGGTAGTCCAGAAGCCCGCGATTAAATTAAAGCAGAGCTATAGGCCTGCAGTTGTAAGGGTCGGTCTTAGATCCTTTTTTGGGATGGGTTGGACATGAGCAAATTTACAGTTTTCTGGGTAGATGCCAAGTTCATAAGATATCTGGAAGAGACGCGAGAACTGGAGCAAGCTCCAATGCACACTTGTTCAGTACAATGGCAGGAATCAAGTCCGGACCAGAAGCTTTGCTGACGTAGAGCGACAAGAGCGCCCGTCTTACGGTCTTATGCCTGAATGTTACTTCCCGCATAGTGTAGGGAACCCTTTGAATCGACGGCACTTGCGCGTTGTGGGGGACGTCACTGGTGGAGTTGACAGCACAGATTTTGGCAAGCACTTCCGCCTTGACCTTTGAGTCGGTTACAATAGTTGGATCCTGACACGTAAGTGGTGGAAGGCTACTGTGTGAGATGTTGTTTTCAATCTGCTTGGCCAGCTGCCAGAAAGACCGACTGCCATTGCGCTGGGACATTACCCTGTGCCTAACTTTTATATCGTGTTGGTTTTTGGCATTGCAAAACCGCTTCGTTATATTTGTTTCTGGACTCGACCTCGGCTTGTCTGTATTCTACAGTGGGGTTTTGTAAGAAGGTTCTGTGTGCCTTGATGTTTTGCTGGCGAGCAGTGTCACACAATTTGTTGAACCAGCCGTTGGAGCCTGGTTTCACTATATGAGGAATATATTCCTCCATTCCGAGCTACTCCCAGTCGGCATGTCCGTAACGCCGAATTTTACGTCCTGGGCGAGTTTCTGCTGCCACAGTGGGTTCTGCCCGAACCTAACCTCCACCATACCGTGGTCTGAGTTACCCAGGGGCGACAGAACAGCAGTGCTGTTAGGAGCAGGATGCGTGGTCAGAAAGGGATCCAGCACATTACTGGCATGTAACAAGACGAGGGGAAAAAAGTATGGCTCGTCCCCAGCCGGGTTAGCCCTTGAGTAAAAGCGAACGCTTCAACCGCACGACCTGCTGCCGTCGGTCTTGTTTGAGCACAACCAAAGCTCGTTATGGCCATTAAGATCACCGAGGAGAACTACCTCTGAAGCGGGGTGATCGAGTAATCAAGTAGGTCATCCCAGTTATGGTCCGAGGAAGAGCGATAAAGGCAGCAAATAAATTTCGGCGATGTTTTGGAGTTGAGGCGAAGCTACAGAATGTCCTTCCGGTCTGATTCCAAAGTAACATCTCTTGAGACTGCTGCGGACAAAAGCCACAACTCCCCCGTTCTTTCTCAGATAGGAGTGCACCTTGTACTTTGGGAAGCTAAGATGGTTAATCGGTGCAGACTTTTTGTCTCCCCCAAGAAAAGCATGGCGGGACGATTGGACTGCAAGTAGTGATGAATAGCATCAATGTTGCTGTTAATTCCGCATATGTTCGTGAAACAAATTTTATCTTCGAAGTTGTTCCCTCGAGTCCACCCTCCACCCAGACATTCCGAGAGTGAAGTGAGCTTACCTCCGGAATTCTTAGTACTCGAGGGAACCATCATCATTATTTTCTTTGTTGAGGAAGTTAACCGACTGCGTAGCTCAGGTGTGGAAGCATGCGGACATTTATAAGACACCCTATGGAAAGCTACCAGGTGGTACCGCCTCGGTCGACTGGTCCTTGTCTACCACCTTCTAATAGAGAAGGTTCAAAATATTCTTAATATAAAGTAATCTCTTGTAATGCAAGGCTTAAACTTTAATTTAGATACTTGGCGACCTCAAAAGTTACAATCTTTAAACGAGTTTTTAAGCAGAATATACACACTTTTAGGGCTTTTCAGACATTGAATTGCTTACAGCTAGAAAATGGCCAGCTTTAAAGAAAATGGAAGCATTTTTGTTTGAAATGATGCAAAAAAACTTTAGAAAAATTGTTCACGCAAAGGATGATGCCAGGTATTATATGGAATCTGGTACGCACCTCCAATAGCTAAGTGTAGTGTGTCACTGGGTAGCTCTATTTGCGCTAAATAGAAGTTATTATAGCACCTACTTGATTCAAATACTAGTTCTAGTTTATACGGTGGAGGTGGATACCATAATTTGTATCATCCATTGTAAAAATATCCACTAGATCAAGAGCGTCAGATTCTGACTACATCACTTACACGTTTTTAAAGAGTAAAAAAGAAACTTATCTTGGAGTCATTTAAAAAAACAATTCTGTAAGCCCTCGATGCCTTTTCCTGTGAGCACCTTACAAGCGAAATCCCTTCATAAGCATGATTTACTTAAAGAAAAGTGCGATGCCCGGGGTGAAAATTTCCTTCCTTAACAAAGCAATTAACTAAATTATTCTCTTTTAACTATGTTACACAACTCTGCTGGTAATTGAAAACACCTTCAGGTTGAGATGCTTTAATCAAGAAATGTTATCAATTATCTGAAGGAGTATATCCTTCGTCTTATTTCACGAAGCAAGGGGAAAGCATGAGCGTACAGAAATTTACAAGAACGGGAGGTGCTTCACCGTTTAAAACTCACAAAAACAATATGTCCACCATCTTTGTGAACTGACATAAGATAGGGTTACCAGACCCGAAACAAAAGCTTGTGTTGCCAAAGTCAAATTAAAGATGAGCCATGGCCACGACAAAAAGATGGCGTCAATTTTAGCTTCTTTAGTAGACTCCTTATTGAGATATCTTGGATTTTTCAAAAAACACCATGGTGGATAATGCATGCGGCCACGGATTTTACAAGTTTTTGTTTCTATGGCTAACTAATTATTCCAAGTATCAACTTTCACATGGCGAATTTCATCCATTTCCATTACTTCGTTTTTTGACTTTTTTCCAGCCTTTTGGGTGCGCCGCCACGATTTTCAAATACTACAAAACTTTTTGATGGAAATGACTGACATGATTTTTTGTGATGTGCATGTCATATACCATCCAGAAACATATCCCATTTTCAATTTTTTCCGCGATTACAATACTAACTCCACTAATAAGGGTGGCTCAACGAAATGGTCGCACCTCTATTTGTGACTCTCCTGGTACATTTTGGAAAGAATGCTCAGACAAGTCAATTTTGATTCCTAGGGAGACGTCTTTTTATCTATAGCTGTACAATACAGGGTGATCGAAAAATAAGATATTGAGTTAATCTTACTAGATTTTTAATTTTTAGATTCTCCATGAAGTTTTTAGGAACTTTTGTATGATAAAGTGTATACCTATTTTCAAACGTTGTGGAGCTACAGGGTGTCCAGAGGGAAAGTTCACCTTTTGATTTAAGAAAAAAAAATTCACAAACTTAACGAAAAGAAAATATTTGTTACTATCAACATATTCGTAAATTCGGCGGGTTTTATTTCTTAAATATTATTCCGTACAAATGTTTGCCATCCCTTCAGACACACTCTTCTAATCGCGCACGCAAATTCTGAAACACTCTCTTGCAGAGTTCCGGAGTGATGTTGTTTGTTTCTCGACGAATGTTGTCTTTAAGCTCCTCCAGTGTTCGTGGATTAGATAAACCTAGGAAGCCAGTGAATGTCTCCAAACTTCGATATAACTTTTTGAGGACCAAGTGCTTTCACCGTGTCCATCGAGTGTCGGGATGTATGGGCAGTAGCCCCATTTTGTTGAAGCCATGTGTTTCTGTTAAACCGACGTTCTGTTCTTACAATAGGAGCAAAAAAAAAGAGTGTCAATCATGTCCTTGTATCGCTCGGAATTGACTGTCAATGCATGATCGTTTTTATGTTCAAAGAAATACGGCCCAATAATACCGCTAGAGGATTTGGCGCACCAAACAGTCACCTTTGGACTATGTAATGACATCACGTACTCGACGCACATTTTCTTTGGTTGATACAGTAGGTGTGGGACCAGGAATGGGTTGACTAATAGTCGAGCCTGTTTTACGGAACTTCTTCATCCACTTTTTCCATGGGTTCTTACTTGGGGCATCTGGTCGGCGAAGAATGTGGTATCGTGTACAAAATTTCCGAATGGCAGCTGCGTATGAATCACCACTCTTAAAGTAAGCCTCGATAGCAAAAACACGTTACGCTCCAGTCCAACATTCTATTGAGACTATTTAACCCGCACGCCGAACGCGTCGATCAAAACCTCTCTCCACTTCCGCGCGTACGAGGGATATCTTTTAAGTTTTGCATATGGAAATAAAACAACACGGTAGGTAGTTTTAACTGACTTTATTGTTTTTCGAAGTATTCTCCACGAAGATTAATACACATCTGCATGCGCTCGAACCAATTTTCGAAGCACTTATTCCACTCGTTTGCTGGCAGATCCAAAACGGCATTTTTGAATGCGTCAACTGCTTCTTCTGGTGACTGGAACCTTTGATCACGCCGTCTGTTTTTAATTTTCGGGAAAGTAAAGAAATAGTTAGGACTAAGATCGGGACTATATGGAGGATGGTCCAATAATTCCAGGTTTTCTTCCGTTAAATACTGCCTTCTTTTTTGGGCTGTGTGTGAGCTTGCATTGTCTTGGTGGAGGATGATTCTTCATTCGGGGTTGATTTTTCGAAGCTCGGTGATGACTTTTGGCAAACAAATGGTGGTATACCAATCCGCAGAAACAGTTATTTGCTCGTTATGACGAATTGTTGCAATATGACACAAATATCGCGACCATCTTTTTCGGAACACTTCGAGACCGGATGACTTTTGTTGGATTTTCTTCACCTTGGAACACCCAAACAGCCGTCTGTCGTTTATTTTCTGGTTTATAACAGTAAATCCACGATTCATCACCACTAACAATGCTGTACACATTTTTTGAGTTTCCGGAATTGAAACGGTCAAGCGTTTTTTGACACCAATTAACCCTGGCTGCTTTCTGCTCTTCAGTCAACAGGTGTGGTATCCAACGACAAACTAATTTTCTTACTCCTAATTCTTCATGTAAATTTTCTTGAATTGATGTCTTTGGGATCTTCAAGGACGCCTCAATCTCGCGATATGTCACATGTCTATCTTCAATGATGAGTTTAGCATCGACGTTTTCCTGGGTGACTGCCGTTTTTGGCGCACCCACCCTGGGTTCGTCGCTGAGACTCACCCGTCCACGTTTGAATTCTCCATACCAACGGGAAATTGTCGACTGATGTGGCGCTTCGTTGCCGAAAACAGACAGTAACTCAGCAAGGCATTCTTGTTGCAATAATTGTCTCTGAAAGTTGAAATAAATTATGGCGCGAAAATGTTCTCGGTTGAGTTCCATTTTTCTAATGACGTGGTGACACTTAAAAATTCACTGTAGTGAGAACACTGCACGTATTGTTGTGAAACGTTGAATTCAAGTTTACCAAAGAGTGAGGTTAAGATTCAGTACTGACGTTCGATCCGCGCGGCCTACTATGTTTCTATATGCAAAACTTAAAAGACATCCCTCGTATACGGTTGCCGCGTAATTCAAATTTGAAGTGTGTACTTTCCCACCAGACACTCTGTATTTGATTTTATAATAATATCCAGAAATGATGATAATAAGGAATTATATCGTAGAAATAATAATCAATATAGGTCCCATAGTAACAAGAGTTTACTTTAAAATTAAAAACAACTTTCCGAGTATTAAAAAAACAAAAATCTACTTCGAGTTTACACGCACATCAATAAAATATCAGAAAGCACTTTAAAAATATATGAGAAAGTCTTTATTAACGTCCGAAAAATCAATAAAATGTGAAATCGTACCTATAACTAATGATGTTAGCATAGAAGATAAATTAGTACACGATGACACAAATCTTACAAGCCTCAGCGCCTGAGTTTCGCTTATATTTGATCAAATTTATACTTTTCTTAAAGAACATGCTGTTTCTCGGACTTCCATTGTCTATAAGGTTTTTTGATTCACAACGTTTCAATCAATGAATTTGAAACCTTTATTTTATATAGATTATGTTACATATGATACCGCCTATATATAAACAATGGAAAACAAAAATCTATTGCTTCAGTATATATTGAAAATATGTAACAAAACCTTGTAGACAATGGAGGTGTGAGAAACGATATCTAAATCATACACATTATCGTCAAATTTCAAGCAACTGCTTTAAGAAGTAAATTACAAATTAGAATTTCAGCTGCTTGAATCAAATTTTCCGTTGAAAATAAGATTGACCTATAAGGATCGTGAATGAGGGAAATCAATGAATCAACTACGTGATTCCAGTTTTATCTGTATAGAGTGAACAAGTTCTTTTATTCGTTAAATGAGAGCTCACCTTGAATTTACTTATGAGTGAAAACTGAAAAGGAAATTTCTCTACGTCCATGGCTTAATTCTGATCCAAATGAATATAATGGAAAGGTGCGTATTCAAGATAATATGACTTAATTAGCTCTTTTATCATTTATCTTGTAATAAATTAGAAATAAAGGTAGTCGAGAGAAATATCAGTAAATATTCCTCATCAAATTATATACTGAGTGACAAAAAAAAAGGTAAACACCTAGGTATGTGTATCCGATTTTAATAATTTTTGGCATATATGTTCAGTGTTCCTAACTAGTAAAATGATTCGTCAATTGACTGCAGGAGCTAGTTCAATAATGTGTTGAGGATCCACGATTTCTTATACACTCATTGACACGCCTGGGCATCGTGCTGATAAGGTGGTCGATATAGTGGGGTATCTCATTCCAGGCTACTGCAACTTCGTAAGTAAGAGCTGCTAAAGTCTGTGGAGAGTGTTGCAAATTCAAGAGCCTGCGACCTATCATGTCCCAGACATGTTCAAATGGAGATAGGTCAGGCGATCGTGGTGGCCAAGGTAAACGGTTCATGCGATGTTGATCCACGAAGGATAACGATACTCTGGTAACATGCGGTCTGGCATTGTCTTGCTGAAAAATCGTGTTTTGGATGGTGTTTAGGTAGCGAATTATTTCTCTACCCCAGAGCAAACGGTTACGCCTATATTCAGCCGTGAGAGGTAGCACCCGTGGGCGATAAGAAAAAAGGTCAAACTGTCGTATTCGACGATATGCCGTACGCATACCAACCATCCTTCGGTGCTCTTCAAACCACTGAATAGCGATGGCTCGAGTACTACTAAATCTGTCTCTCCTCTTAAGCCAGAAGTCTTAACCGGCGGTTTTGTCGCTCTGTGGTCCCTCCCGGACGTCCAGAACCCCTCGCTCGCTGTCCTCGGCCTTCTTGAGTCCAAGCTTGTTCACACTGCAGTATACTGCATAAGGATCTGTTGCTCCTCCTAGAAACTTCTCTTATCGATAGACCGGCTTTACGCACGATACACATACACTGAAGATAGGATATTGCGCATGTGGGCGGAGCTTCGTGACGTCACCCGGAGAGTTGTCGACTCCTGGTTACCAGCGGCAGGATTGTCGTAACGTTACTGCAGTTCACGTGTATCGTGGTTAATACTATATGTATAGTGCGATTTGCTGGTGTTTTTTTGGTGATTTGTGACCTGTTCAATTAGTTATACATACTTTATATAGCCTGTGTGGTTGATAACTTGTTAAAAATGCGGTGTGCTGTTGTGGGATGTAATTCCGACAACCAGTCTAAACGGAATCCTTGCAAAGACATGAAGTTCTACAGATTTCCTCAAGACCCAAACCTTAGCAAAAAATGGCTACATCATACAAAAAGAAAAGTCAAAGTCAATGTAAAAAGCGCTAGGGTTTGCTCGAAGTACTTTTGTGAAAGTGCCTATAAGGTCAATTTGACACATACCCTTTTGGGTTACACCCCTAAAAGATATCGTGCTCTAAAAGGTGATGCCATTCCTATCGAACATTTACCCAAGTCTCTATCATCACCTGGACCGTCTACATCTGTTGATGGGGAAAAGCGGGAAAGTGCTTACGAAAAAAGGCAAAGGCCTCAACTTATCCCCTAGAGTTTAAGTATAGAATAAGGTCATATATTTTGGGGCGAAACGAAGGCGCATACTCAGAGTGTTGCAGCGTAGAGGAAGAGGATACTCCGGACATTCCACTAACCCCATCATTAACGAATAAACTGAATGCACCTGAAGTATCAGCTCACTATAACGAGGAAGTTTTAGTGGAAGAAATGGATGAGCTCGAGTATGATGGGCTGAAAAATTTGGCTGGCTTTGTTTGCCATAAGTTGCAGGATGAGAGGTTGAAAATGAAACTTACTCCTGGATAGACCATCTTAGTGAGAGTGGATTATCAAAACCTTCCACAGCTTCATGAATCAAATTGAGAAGTTTAATAAGGTGTTTACTACATTCAGTGGGGACGGAATAGTGATAGACAAGCAACATTTTATAGGCGAACTCCTGTTATAGTATAAGTACTTATTATGATGTTCTGTGAAATAAGGATGAATAAATGTAGTGCAGTATTAACATCATGAGCATGTTAATCCTGCTCCACAGAACATACTAAAATATAGGTAATGTAGAAAAATCTTGTTTTTACAGTAAAGTGACGATGCACGCTCTATTCTGGAGCTAGAAAGCCGTTTAAGCTATAGCCTCTGAGATAGGAATTACAAGGTCGAAATCTTTTATTTAAATCCGCCATTTTGCTTTGTATGAAATTTTAATGTAGATTGTGTCCCTCGCACCGCTAAGACGAATCCAACGACACCTCATATGTGAAAATCTATCAAGCCGTTTGAGCGGTAGCCTATGAAATATGAATTACAAGGTTGAAATCTTTTATTAAAATCCGTCATTTTGTTTTGTATAAAATTGCAATGTATCTAGTGTCATTCGCACCGCTAAGACGAATCCCACGACACTTCATATGTGAAAATCCGTCCAGCCGTTTGGCCTGTAAGTGAAAATATGCACGTTTTTCATATCAACCCAAATGATAATCACTCACCGCGTGACGTCATGCGCGCCGGCGGACAAAAATCGAACAGCGGAGCGTCCGGCACTGGGCTTTAGGCAACCCGACAATTTGACCCCTCTAAAAGTCACTTAGCTGGAACACTCCTCGAATTTTACGCACTCTAGTGATTTTGAGCAATCACAAAAAGGCTTGTCAATAGGCTACACGAAATTTAACATTTAACTGACACCGTAAATATATGAAAACTGAATGCTTCTTTATCACCAAACAATACACGTAGCCGCCACAAAAACTTAACCATAATTACCATTTTATCACTTGTTATTCAGGGCAAGATAAATCGATACGTAAAAAATTCTTGTATTCTAATAAACATACGTAGGTGTTTACCTTTTTTTTTGTCAGTATATGTCGCATAATGGCTGGAGTGACTTTTTTGTGACTTTTTTATCACAGCTGTTGGGCCTCTAAATAAGTATGAGATCGAGTCCTGTTAACATCCCTTAAACAAGGATACCTCATTTAGACTCCTAGTTTTGCTGCAATGTCAGTAGCTGATCGAAACAGTTTCTTCACTGTTTCATCACTAGGATAGCTGAGAAAATTCTTTAACTAAGAAGGTGTTTTCAGTGACAACCTGTTCAGGCAGGTATCATCCTAATCCTAATTTGTAATTTACTGGAATGGACATGTTGTAATTTACTCCTAAAAGTAGTTATGCTATATAAAATGTGGCATCAAGTTGTGATGATTTTTATTTCCATGGTCATGGCCCATCTTTCAGTTGCTTAGAAAATCAGCTGGCTTGATTTTCGACCTTTTCTTGAAATCGAAATTATAATTATTTCGATTTAATTTTCTTGTCCCTGAAAGTAGTGATCTATAGCAGAGAAACATATTATCTCACATGTGAATGAAGACTTCGCGATTGTGGTCTTTTAGAGTCGTTGTCATGTCAAGGTAGAATACAGAGAGGATATGAACCCACAATGCTGGTTTTAACATTAAGTAGTAGCAATGTTGTAGTATTTTCGCTGCGGGTTTGCAGCACTTGAGAGTCAGTATTGCCTGTCCGCAGGTGTTTGCCCTTAATTCTGTAACCAATCTCTTTCGCAGCTAATTCCAACTGTGTCACGCTGCTGGAAAAATACAAATAAGTTGGCCACGGAAACGAAACTTTGTTTACAGCATAATAAGAGGGTACGAGCTTCCATCGGACATAACAGAAATCTGTTATTGTTATCTTTATGAACACCATTGGCTGAACAGAATACTATTTTTTTCTACCTTAGGCTACTATTATTCAGAGAGGATCTTAAAAAGGTTTCGTCTTTTATCCAAAATGGGATTAGTGATATTTACGAACCTTGAAGCACTTCCCGATAAAATCCAGAATGACTTGAAAATATG